TCCAACCAGCGTGAACTATAGCGCTGCATGGTCAGAGCACACTTCAAAGTGTCTACCATACAAATAGGGACAATACTGTTGCACAAAAACCACAATGGCCAAGACTTCCCGGCATGTGACACAATACCGTTGGTCGGCCGGAGACAGCACCCTGCTGCCGTATGCGACAACGTTCTCGACACCATTGACAACTTGGGACAAAACAGCTCCAATTCCGGTGTTACTTGTGTCCGTATCAAGGACAAACGGCAACGATAAAAATCGGGGTAGCGGAGGGGAGGGGCATTCACCAAGCCATCCCGGAGTGCAACAAATGCGGCCTCCTTTTCCTCCCCCCAATGGAATTCATAACCCTTAGCCATCAAGGCGTGGAGAGGCTTAGCAATGGTAGCAAACCTGGGGACAAAACGGCGGTAATAGGACGCAAATCCTATGAAACTGCGTACCAATTTCGAACACGTGCGGTTTTGTCCGGGTCAGTCGCAATACCCGATTCACTTACTATGTGGCCAAGATACCGAACCGATTTCTGGAGGAAGTGATATTTCTGCGGTTTAAATTTCAGGATGGCCGCACACATTTTGAGAAAGACAGCGCGTAGCCATTCCAAGTGTTCATCAAATGTACGGCTGAAAACGATGACAGTGTTGAGGTATATCAAGCACAAGTCCCACTGGAGACCAGCCAGGACCAGTTCCATTAATCGCTGGAACGTGGCCAGCGCGGAATGAAGACCCATCGGAAGCCGATTGAATTCACACAAGCCTTTAGGTTTACGAAAGGCTGTATTGGGCGTAGAGGCTTCGTCTAGTGGCAACTGCCAGAACCCAGATAGGAGATCAAGAGCAGAAAAGAACCGCGCTCCGGCTAGAGCATCCAGTGAGTCATCCATTCTAGGTAAAGGCCACGCATCAGGGACACAGACCTTATTAAGCTTATTGAAGTCAACACAAAAGTGCAAGCTACCATCGTGCTTTTTAACAAGTACAATTGGTGCTCCCCATAGGCTGGTGGACGGTGAAATAATGTCCGCGGCTAACATTTCGTCAACCGCCAGCCGAACGTGTTCTTTTTCCGCAAGGCTTAGCCGGTAGGGATTCTGCCGAATGGCAGTGGCATCGCCCATATCAATGTGATGATTCAAAAGCGTAGTGCGTCCAATATCAAATTTCTCTTTACTAAAAACATCCGAAAATTTTCCACAAAAGCGCCTGCAGCTTCCCCCTCTGGACGTCGGATAAATCTGCATTCTCGGAACAAAGCTTCTCCATCCACCCCTCATCAGGTTTCTGCTGCGGCCACGTATTCGATGTGGCACCCACATTGCCCACAATGCTTCCCTCAGGAAGTGCTGGAGACGCATGAGCTAGCACGATACCTTCCTGGATGACCGACATGTCTAACCCTGCATTAAGGAACTGAATGAAAGGTCGTTGGATACCAACGTCTGCACCCCCATCAACGTCAAACCACGACCCCCCAGTCTAGCAGCTTCCGCAATCGTAGGGGAACCAACATTTGCGCGCTGGGGGGAATCCTCACCGTCCTACACATAAGGGCTTGCAAGGTAGCATGAGCCGTGTATAAGCGGGTGGGTGAAGGCAAAAATGACATTCGATGGCCGGATGGTAATTCCAAGCACTCCTGGTCAATCAAAATTTTCAGGGGCATTCGTCTCAAAAAGTCAGTCCCTAGCAAGCAAGTAGTAGCAAGGGACGTCGAAACAAGAACCTGTCAATTTAACATCCGCAATGCACACTTCCGCTGTTATTTTCCCAGTAATGCCCAATGAGCCACCATTTGTGGCAAAGCACAGAGCTTCGACAGGGCATAAGGAACGACATTTAGGGGGTAATATATTATAGATCAATTCTGAAATGATGGTCACACCGGTGTCAACGAGCATCCCAATTTCCACCCCTCCTATTCGTCCATTAACAGCGGATGAACCTGCGGTCGTGGCCACCACTCAATGGGCCAGCTCTAACCACTGACCCGGATGAAGCGTCCGGCCGGCCCGATCAACATAAAAATCCTCCCGCCCTGACGCGCGACCAGAACAAAACCCGAATGCGCGAGATGGGTAAGGTGGATTCAGGGGCCGTGTGTAGAATGTGTCGCGACTCGCCTTAGGGTGCAGTGGAGCAAAGGACGATCGGGCGGGTGACGGCGGTGGTTCGTGGAGATGTCGTCGTGGTACACGGCAGCCCCTACGAGACGTGTCCTGGCAGGCCGCAGCTGCAGCACACGACGGGGCTGCTCCAGGGACGAGGAGATGTCTTCCACCGTCGTTGGTGATCGGCCCGCCGCACCATGCCGTCCCCGCGCCCGCCTCCACTCTGAGCCAATGCACAGGCTGAAGTAGACTCCATGTCTTCAGGTGTATCTGGCCCCTTGCGGGACGCAGAATATGCCATCAACCCCTCTTTCGCATAGCAAACTTGTGGCGTACGTTGGACGGCGGCTTGTAAATAGCCGCCATTTGTTCGAAGGCTTGAGTCAACGTGGCCCTCTCCGACGGCAGGATGATAATGAACGCTGCCAGTGTGTCGTCATCAAGGGCGGCGGGTAGCGCTCTTAGCGCCTCCGCCTCTGTCCACCCCGCCAAGTCGGCGTTCGTCAGGAACCGCCACAAGAAAACCACCCAGTCGTCTCCAGCGGCTGTAAATTCTTTCACGAAGGGAAGTCATCGCCGGAGAGATGGAACGTCCACCGAGGATTTCGAATTTGGCCGGTCCCGTGCTCCGCTCTTCCGAGAAGATGGCGGCTGCCAGCGCGAGCTGCGCCATGGAGGTTTCCGCTTGGTGGGAGATGGCGGCGGGAACTTCGTTGCCACGTGGCTCCGTTGCTCCCGCTTCCACCGCTGGTTCCGCAATGTGAAGCTCCGCAAGGATGGATGCCGCGGCATGGAGGAGCTCTGCCAGGCGGCCGTGTGCAATCTGGAGCAACCTTCCCGTCGGCGTGGAGCAGTCGTGTGCCTCGTCGGTGCTCTGCTCCGCTGGCAATGCTTTTCACCTCCCTCCTCTGGGGCTATTTGCGGGATGACATATTTATCTTCATCATCTAATGTCCTGTTAAGTAGTCTGCGGCGCGTAGACATAGTCTACAGCTAGCTAAGTAATATAGCGTTTGGCCACTTCCGACACCAGTTGTAGTGGATTCAACTGGGTCGCAGACGTACTTCTTGGAGGCAACACATATCTAATAACACCAACACATTGACACAAAAGGGGTTACTGCCCCTTTACCAGATAACCTATGGTGGACCACCAGGCTAACTATGCTAGTTACTGTGAGTAGCTACAACGGACAGGACCCTAGCTGGGGTCCTCATCCACGTGTTGGTGACTTCTTCTTGGACGTAGAATGTAGATCGTAGATCTTCAGATGACGAGAGCAACGCTGAACCCCGGTCCCTGTGTGGACCCGGTTTATATGCTCCCGGGTCGTGGCTGGTCCCGCCCTTGGCCACGACCACCTTCGAGAAATCTCCTGGGGTTTCTCGACCGTTCCCGTAGGATCTCACCTTGACACGTGACCACCCTCTAGCCCCCACCTGGGGCCCCTGGGTAGATCTTACTTGTCACGTGCCTTCCAGGGTCAACCAGAGTGCCATGGCCTAGGGTAACCTCATCCCATGGCTGACACCGAGCCCCCTCTAGGGCTGGTATTAAACCCACTTACGGGGTGTCCGCAATGACAATGCATCGCACGCCGTGCCTCGCTAGAGCCGGCATTACACGGCGACATTCTCGATGATGCTTCATACGTGATGTCCGCGATGTGAACACATCGCACGCCGTGCCTCTCTAGAGCCAGCCCCCCACAGTGACATCCGCGATGTCACTATATCACCCCCCCCCCTCCATAGCACTCAGCCATCCCGGTTGTCAAAACGGGGAAACGGGTGTGAGTACAGAAGAACACGAGAGAAAAAACAGTGCAGTCAACCGTGAACGCTCGGAATCCCCTTCATCGCCAACATCTCCCACTCTCACCGTGTAACAACACCCGCAAGCACAATAAGAATTAGGTTCAGCAAATAACCAATACGGCTTACCAAGTGCGACAACCAACTGAGGGAGTGGGAGTGTATGTGCGTAGGGATCACGAAACCCGAAGAGTTTTAGAACGAGTCCTCGTGGCTGGGCCTCCCATGGCTGACATTCTCACATTCTCACACTCCCTCCTGTAGGAGTCAGCACTGCACGCCATGCGTGATGCCACTGCGCTAACTCAGCGCTCACCGAGCCCCCTCTAGGGCTGGTACTACACCCACTTACAGGGTGTCCGCAATGGCAATGCATCGCACGCCGTGCCTCGCTAGAGCCGGCATTACTCAGTGACATTCACGATGTCGCTACATGCGTGATGTCCGCGATATGAGTACATCGCACGCCGTGCCCCTCCAGGGCCGGCACCACACAGTGACATCCGCGACGTCACTACACAAGCAAAAAAATGTCATGACAACATCTTTACTGGCTTACAATGTTTGAATTGATCCTTTTCGAGTATTTGAGCTGGAGTGTATGGAAGCACTTCACAACTCGAATAACACTGAAACCCCCATACAAAATTCAACACATTCGTGAATAACAAGAATCATATAGGTAGACCAGTAGTTCCCTTGATATGAATATCATCGACTGGTATCATCTTTTAGCTCTTCAGGTTAGGTGTCTCATTCATGTGATCAGGGGCGGAGCCAGGATTTCAGGCCGGGGTGACATTCAACAAATTTTAATTTCAAGAATGATTAGAGAGTCAGGCTGTTGAACTAGACGCCATCGGTTGGCGACACACTCTGAAAATGCAGTTGCACGGAGTCCGCCAGACCGAGTGTCGTACACTTATACGCAGAATGTCACCCCTGTCACCCCCCCTGGCTCCGCCCCTGCGTGTGATGATGTCTGCACAATCCACTATATATCTCCTGCGGCACGACATTGGGATTTATGTTGGACGTCTCAGTTCGGGACATCTCTTGGGTCACTGACCGATGATGAAGAGGATCTCGCCGGCGATGTCGCTGACGGTGGTGCTGCGCGACGCGGCGGGCTGCTCGTCCGAGCCGGCGAAGCAAACGTTGTAGGGCACCGTGACGGCCACGTAGAAGGTGGCAAGAAGGATGAGCCAGTCCCAGCCAGCCTTGAATGTGCCGTAGTGCAGCAGGATGAAGCGCGAGCGCTGCGCTGCCGCCACCTTGTACTCGGGCAGCGCTGCCTTCTCGCCAAACACGTTCTGGGAAAGGAGAGAGCGGGGGCCGTCGGCGATCGGACAATGTCGACGGCAAAGTCTTTAGGTGCAGGCCAAAGTGAGTGCGGCACCTGTCCCTCTGCCGTACTTGTTTTTTGGCAGAGGTGAGAGCTGAGGTTCGGCAGCCAAAGCACAGTTGCCCAGTCGTGCAACGATTCACTCCATCCAACCACCCAGCTGATTCGATTCTTTTTTTTTAGACACGGAGTTGTGATTTTGTTACAATGATGGATTTTTATTTATTCATGTTGGTCTTGTTTGTCTTGTGTTATTGGTCTCATTTGTACTGCTTGTTCGTTTGCCTAAATTAAACATGAGGATATTACTTGCGTATGTAAAAAAATGTAAATATATCATTTCTACACGTGGCATTCGATGTATGCGTCGTGAGCGTAGGATTCTGTTTATGAATCAGTGGGTTGACGTGCTGTTACGTGCCTCCTAACAGCCACAATGCCATCTGACCGATCCACTAGGTTACGTGAAAGTCTACCTGATGCCCTAACCTCAACATCGTTTTGTTGCACCTAGGATAAACCTGCCCCTGGGCAGTTTCATTTAGCCATGACACTGCATTAAAAAGGCATCGTTACCGTGCACATCTCCAGGGGGTGGTGGTTGTCTTAAAATATTTATCTCTGCTTTAGATGCCAGTTATTGTTACGTGAAGCATGCTTAATCTTCCCTAAAATGGTTGACGCTGTAGCTTTTTAAATGTACCGTAAAATATAGTCAGGATTTACTGACAAACCTGAATTATACAGATCCTGCAAACATGTTCGTACATTGGATACAAATACAGCTAACTTGTCGTTAACTATTTGTCCACGTTTTTATTCATTTCAGATTTTTAGAAATTCACATTTTCCCTCCCTGATCACTGACACCAATAATACATTAACAGGGACAATTAGAAAGGTGTGGGAAACAAAACAAGAGGAGGCAAAACGCAAACACAGAGCGACAATGGGGAAAAAGAATCGTGATCACACGTGGTGGACACAGTAGCAGTCAAGATTTCAATGATTCACGTCAAGAAGAAATTATCTTGCGTCCTGTTTTCTCTCTCTCTCATTTGTATATTTTTTAGTCTGCTGCTGTATTAGCATAAATATACAACAGACATATCCCTCTTCTTTGGTTCTTTAGGTAAAGTCACGTAGAATGAGAATAAAATAATAAATTAATAAAATAAAATAACACAAAATTCTCACGACGTTTCGGCCACAACACAAATAGCTTTCATTAGGTGAAGGGACGAGACTGTCTCGAGGACAGCGCTGGAGCGCTGTCCACTTGTGTTGTGGCCGAAACGTCGCGATAATTTTATTGTGTTATTTTATTATATTAATTTATTATTTTTATTCTCATTCTACGTGACTTTACCGAAAGAACCAAAGAAGATGAATCCTTGCAGTCACGAAAGCTTTAAATCGAGGCATATCCCTCCCATATTAATTTTCCAAAAAGAGTTAATGTCCTATTCTCACACCCATACCATTCAATGCCTGCACCATCCATGCGTGCCGTGCGAGTATTGTTTCTCACTTGCGTTTGCTTCTATTTGTAAGAGTTGTTGACTCCATTGAACTGGGCTTATTACATTAGTTTAGGTGTGTATAACATTAGCACATTGTTTTGCACCTTGAATTTCCCCACGAATCGTTAGTGAATGAATGGTCTCTTCACGTGCACGACTCGACGGGTGTTTCATGAGCGCCATTACACGCCTAGCGAATGGAACGCATTCAATGGACAAGTGTTAGCTAAGAGCATTTATAGCATTCGCGGAAAGCCGGCGCAGTGGTGGGGGGGCGGCGACATGGCAGCCAGCGGTCAGGGGGGTTTAGCACATCCATGGTTAGTACTTACGAAGGGCTGTGAACAGACGGCCCAGCACGTGCCTCGCCCTGCAGTCTCTTCCTGGGGAGCATCATGCCAATGCCGTGCAAGATGGTTGGGGGTTGGGGGACAGGGTTGCGGGGGGAAGCGAGGGCAGCAGGGAAGGAGCGAATGAAGAAGGATTGGGAGCATTGAGGGGGCAATGCAGGTGGGGGAGGGCAGGAAAGGGAAATGCAGGCAGATTGAGACAGGCGAGCATGCAACACACACAGCTATGCAGCGGGTTTGAATGAACCATTTGGTGAGCATCTGCATGTGTACACACGTGTACACGTACTGCCCTTTTTCGAATTCCACTGCTGGATGAGGGCCTTACCCGGTCAAGCAGGTCGTGGGTCCTATTTGACCGTATTTGGACATGCTGGTCAGTGTGGATTTATGAAGAATGTATGTGTAATGAGCGACTTCCGCGACACGTCGTGTAGAGGGTACTCTCTTCTTTATTCACATTCGGGCACACTACAGGCCAACCTTATCCTCTTCCTTCTCCGAGTACACATGGAGATATTAGCATCCCTACAGGCTACACGTGGTCGATTCCACAGCGTGGTTCTGTCCGCCCACTCCCAGCCTCGCCGCTGGTTGACGACACGCCGGCGAGGGTGGTGGGACTTCTCAGGAGATTTGCCACGTGGCCGATTGACGGAGAGAGATGACGGCGAGCAGCAACGCAGTCCGGACTCAAGACTCCACACCCCAACCCCGAGTCTTTCTCTGCCTCTGCTTATATTGCCGCAGGCGCGGCTAGGCTCCGCCTCCGGCCACGCCCTCTCGTGGAACCTTCTAGCCGGTTCCCGGAGTATCTCGGCCAGCCCCGCCCTTTACCTTTGGCCCAGATACCTCTCCCTTTGGGATTGGATAATGTTTATAGTGGTGCCTGTACCCGTGCTTCCCTTTTCCAACTAGTAGATGTCACTATGTCATTACATATGTATGGATGTACGAGCGTAGAAGTGCAGTACAATGGATTTTGTTGCACTGCCCACAACGTAGGGCCGCAGCCAATAGAAACCAGTTATGCATGGTGATTACCCATACATGCCCGAACCAGGCTCCATCCAGCTTAGCTTCGGAGATCTGATTAGATCGGAAGCACTCAGAGCGATTGGGTCATAACACCCTTCTGTGTGCCCTCAATAATAAGGGAGCGTTTCTTGGAGATGTTTTCAAGTCTTCCATTTGGCTAAGTGCTTTGGGTTATTCTGACTTACATGTTTTATTTACTTTCATTTCGTTTATATAAATAATAATAATACAACAACATTCAGTATTACATACAAAATGGGTGGAGCAGTGGCAGAGTAGTTTTTTGTGTGATGCATCCGATGTCTTAAGTTCGATTACTGGCCACGACCAACAACAGTAGCGACTGATATTTAAACTGGTGCTGAGCCACGCCTTCACCAACCCGTACTTGACACTGTGTTGGTAGGCCTTCATCCAGCAGTGGAATAACAAAGGGTTTAACTTATTGTTACAATAACTGTTAGCATCAGTCATGTGTTAACATGAAAGTGCACAGAAATTGAGAATTGAACGGTTCTTGCAACCTACACGTGTACCAGCCAGGTGACTAAGCGGTCGAGCGAGCGGCTAGTAAACGAAAGGTTGTGAGGTCAAATCCTGATTGGGGGTTGACTGAGCCTATCATCTCTGTGGGTTCGATACAATGAGTACCACTTTGTGAGGAGGTCAATACTTGTCTTATGGATAAATGCACCCTTGCCATAGGATTTGGAAATTTCTACCACTGGCTCAGGGATGTAAACAGAAGATTAGCACCAATTCAATGCTCATTTGAGCAGGAAATTACTGTCACTTTAACACGCATACTATCAACAATTTCAATTCAGCATCATTGCCTACACAGATTTCCACCGGTGGTTATAAAGTGTTTGTGGTTGGGACATCACAGCAGCCGAGAAGCCATGCAAGCGGAGGTACTTGCATGCGCCGGGGCACAGCATGCCCTTGTCCAGCCACGATCAATCCCAGCACCCCCTACTTACAGCAGAACAAGCGTAATACAAGCACACATTGCATGTAATCTTGTAAACTTTATGTAATCAATTGTGCCATCAGTGTCCTGGTTTTCTCAGGACTATTCTCTTTTTTAAAGGCGGTAGCTGTCCTGGGAAATCTGTAACTAAAACTGTTCCTTGGACATTAAAACTCGTTGTTCTTGTCAGTGGCAAAATACTACACCACTCAAAGCAGTGTTGTTGTGCGTAGGTCGTCCCTCTTCCGGTATTGTGAGATGTTGTTCCCATGACATGTCCTCGTTTTGTTGTTTGCACCTCAGAAGTGGAAACCTTAACCACACACCGTCCTCCAGGTTGAGACGGTTATACTGAAAATTCTTGCATTGTTTTGCATATTTCGAAGTACATTTAGTCTCAAATCTTTTTTAAATAACCAGTAAAAACCCACAGAGAACCATTTTTTTACATGAATACATGCAAAAAGCAATATTTTGAAAGTGCATTTTTTCCTTCTCTGTTGCTATATATAAAATGTGTTGTACAAGTACACCCTGATGTCATCACAGTACTCTCATCATTACCACGGCCTTATAACAAAAAAACAAAGAATTAGATAATAACTCAGGAAATTATCCTTCTTCCAGCCAGAGGCAGACAGAAGAGAATATTTGTATTGCAAGAGCTGGAATGGGCTGAATGGGACAGAGTGGAGTTTGCGAATCACAAATGGATGGTGACGGCACGTTCAAATCCCGGTCTGGGAATTGACCTGGCCCTTCCTTTCACCAGAGCTAATAATACCAGTTTTATTTTCATAGAAATAAACAGTGGCTGTTATATGGAAATATGTGCCCCCACATCACAGGAATGTGGAATTACCACCACTGGCTCAGAGTTATAAACAGGAGGTGAATGCCATCCCAGGTTTAATTTAGCTGAAAACCGCTTGAACTTCGACTTTACAGTTGACAAAATATTTTCACAACTCTGTTAATTTAAAAATGCAATAAATTTGAAGCAGTTGAAGTATGAACACTTTTTTACCACTGTGTGAGATGAGCCCTCCCCTACCCTCCACCTCCTATCGCTCCCACTAAATCACAACCCTGTGAATCAGAGCCTCAGAAAAAAGTGTTCTAACAGTGTTCTTGCCACTCATGCAAGAATACAGTAGAGTAGGTGACTTCAAATTGAGCAAAGTAAAAATGTACTTGAAAAACAAACAGTGAAAGAAATTTGCTACCTAGAAGTTGCGAACAATACAAAGAAAATCGGAGATCATCTATTATAAAAGCCCAGTGTTCAGTTTGTTCATTTGTCCGTCCGTTTGCCCGATAACTAAATTACAAGAGCCTTTCAGAATCAAAATGTTGTAGAAAGTGGGCCAGATGTGGGGGTAAAAAGTAGAACCAACAAGTTTCCAAAAGTTGTCGACCCCCCGAAATAAAATGTAACCCTCCCTCCCCGCCACAAAATAAAAAATGGAGTCCAGCTTTTTTTTAGGCAGGAGCTAGAATAAAGCGGCCATAGGCTGTCGAAATTTTAGTTTGCAAAAAACCCACTGTCTACTACAAAATACTCTGAAGGTCACGTTTTCTCCCTGCTCAAAATAGTTGGGCAGTGCTATTTTACTTTGGTAGTGTTAAGCAAGTGGGGTAAATTTCACATTCCTATGAAGGGAGCCTGGTCTCTACATTGGACATACGCTTTTGATTTCCCAAAGAATTGTTTATATTTTATCCAAAAGAAGGATGGGTTGACGTGGATTTGAAATCGTAACTTTCCACAGCCTTCATATTGCAAGTTAAGGGTTCTACCAGTGCTTTGAGGTGTCACCATATACGTAGTATTTTCATAACACTTTTTGCGTGGGCGCAATGGCACGGTAATCGATGTACTGTGCTCAAAGCCCAGCAAACGGAGTTTGATTCCCGGCCATTGTTAATATCAACGGCGAGTCATATTGGAACAAGTTTTTCACCAACCCACATTGAGCATGGTCAATGCATAACCGAGGCTCCAAAGGCATGCCTTCATCCAGCAGAGGACTGACGATTATTCATTCCTGTTCAATCGTAGTTTGGATATTAATATTTGTTAGGTTCATGTATGTCAGTGGAAGTGTGCTCTGCTGTTGATTAAACCAACAGTGGGCCTGTTGAACGAACATAGCTCATCTTTCTAAGTCAGACCATTCCCTCAATCACTTTAATACGATTACAGAAATATCATGAGCTGTGATTGGACGTTACGAAAGCCAGCGACTATAGCTGATCGCACATTTCAATATGCCAGGAGACATGGGCTACACCAAATTAAGAACGGGGCAATATTGCAGGGGAGTCTAGTCTTCGTGAGCATTCATGTCTGGATGATGCTAGACAGAAGCTATCTTCCATACATTGACACACACTGATTTAAAATAAAATTGCAATACAATCGAACGAGAGGACGAGATGGCAGTTCATGCACATCACGCTTGCTTTTGACCATGCAGCCACTGCAGCGCCAATGCATCACGATTGTGAGTGGCGGTCAGGCTCTCTGTTATCCCGGGATATCTGTGAAATCACAACATTAAAATAAACCATGGCCCTAAAAAAACCTAATTAATTTAAATGACTTTCACCAATAAATGTTGAGTGTCAAAACAAAACTACAGGGGAAAGATGATAGATTGGCAATAAACCGTGCACCATCGCTGTGCATCGTAGGGAGATGATGCTCTTGCGGTTTTGTTTGAATCTATTATGCAATGTTTGCAAAGTGCACTTGTATGCACGTGGGCATACAAACTCGTCTTTTTTTCGCTCATTGTCTTATAACCACATCGCAGAAGTTCAAGACAACGCTTAAAAAAATGTGTTAATATTTTAGACAAAAAATACCAAAAAAAAACACATTTCATTCGCAATTACAAGGGGATAGACACAAATTGTTGGTTATTTGTTATGTTCAAGAATGATATAGCTACACAAATGTATTACTGCAGTGTGAATAGAAATATAACTACGGTAGTTGAATTTGCTTATAGTCAATGTGTGAAAAACACGAGGCTTGCCTCTGAGCTAAAACAAAATTTAATCTTTGGTACAGAGCACACGGGCCGTGTGCTGATAAAAGGTCTGATAATTGGGCAATGTGCTTAAACGACTATTTATATATCCTGGCACATGGCCAATCTCTCCAAATAGTTCGCCACCGGGAATAATGTTGTCTTCTTGGCAGTGATACACACATATATAGAAAGCTGATTTGGGAAATATCTCTTTTCCAACAAAAGGAGAGAGAGAGAGAGAGTAAGAGATTGTGAGATAATTGGAAATCGCATTTGAAGATGTGGTGACTCACAAATTCTGAGAAGTATGAAAACAACGCACAATCTGGTGTTATATAAGTAAATATTCTTCAAGACACATTTGGTAACAAACAAAAAACAATCTTCCAAGCAGCCTTGTAAATGTTCTCAGCAATTTAATTGCATGTTTATTTTGCAAATGAGTGGCAATTGCACAGGCACATTTTGTTAAACAAATTATTACGATTTGTCATTATTTTCCCATCGCGGAAGCCCCGCACAGCCAATTTAAAGTATCGCTTTCAATCGCGTTCCTGGCCTGCTTTCCCTGGCACGGCGTTTAATTTGACTCGCACTAAGCCCCGAGCCGCTGCAGTGGACTATTGCTGTGGTGCGTGTGCGGCCACGTAGATGTGAGCAGGGTGAGTGCAGAGTGCCACTCACGTTCTTGATCTTGATTTTGGGGTTGTCGTGCCGCTGCAGGTGCCCCGACAGGTGGTAGAGAACGGCGCGGCTCCGCCGGCGGTTCACGCGGAAGCTGGATCCCGTTTGGCCCTTCTGCCGCTGCCTCCCCTCTGCAGTCAAAAACAAAACAAGCCGAAGAGATCTCACAAGTCGTTTTGGGACGTCTCCTTCTGCAGGCCGTTCTCTAACACGCCGGGTGATGATGCACCACTCCGTGAGGGTTTCGAGAAACATTCCTTCGTCTCAACGATATGACGCCAGAAGACAAAAATTATAAAAACAAAACGTAAAATGAAGGTGGTGAAAGTATTCAGGCCTCACTTCCAGAAGCTTCTTCAGTGAAATGAGGTGGAATTGTGGTGCATTGGATAGAGCACTATGCTGTGAACCCAGCGAACCGAGTTCGATTCTTGACCATGGCTAATTTGAGTATCGAGTTGTGGAACCCCTCTTTACCAACCCACACTTACCAGCGTGGTGAAGTATGGATAAACAACCCACCAATAACTGACAAGGTATGGGGAGGCCTTCTTCCAGCAATAGATGAAAAAGCACTGTAAACTTAAGAATGAAATAGAATTGTTGGATATTATAAACTCAAATCCATTCCAACAAAGTTATGAGCTGCAGTCGAAGACTCTGGGTAATGAATTAAATACATATATTTCAACTATGTTTTCCTATATATTTTAGTCTATATATGATATAGTGACTATAGATATCGATATATAAATATCTATACAGCAGGGGTCGGGAACCTTTTTGACTAAGAGAGCCATGAAAGCAAAAAAATTGGAAATTTATTTCAGTGAGAGCCATATAATATATTTTAAAAGTGAATTCAACTAAATGTCAGTATAATAAGCCTCTGAATTTATTCTTTTAAATAATGTTGTTATAACACTCACCATTAATGCGACTTCTGGTGCTGCATGGATTTGCTGATGTCTTTGTAGTCGGGTTGGTACTTGGTGAGGTTAAGCTTCATGCAAGCGTTGAGGCTTTCATCCGTTAAACGTGATCGTAGGTTGGACTTGATGTTTTTAAGATGTGAGAATGACTGCTCACATGCATACGTAGATCCAAACATGGTCAATACAGCAATACTCACACGCTGCAGTGTGTGGTATGTGACAAGAAGCGCGTTCCAAGTTTTGAGAATCAGCTGGTCTTCGGGTTGGAGTTTTTTCATTTCTGTCCACATGTGCTTGCTCGCCAACTCTACTTTCTGTCGTGTGATTCTTTCCAAATCTTCATTCAGTGACTTGAACTTATTCACCCACATGTCTGAGGCCTTCAGGTCAGCCACTTCTGCTTCAAAATCTCTGACGTAGACACCAGGGATGTAATTCAGGTCGGCTGTGTTCAGTGAACACTCGTTTGGATGGGTGATGACTTTAAAAAGACGAGTGTGCTCACGAAATTCTCCAAAGCGTGCTTTGAAGGACTGTAGGAGACTGGATGTGCAGCCAGCTAGCTGGTGGAGATCAAGGTTTTGAATGGGCTCACTTGCTGTGCATGCATCTTTAAATTGGCTCAGTTTTTCAAAATGTAGTAAACGACCTGTTTCAAGATCCGTGATGAAAAGCTCCAGCTTGTTTTCAAAAGCAAATACAGCTTGTTGAAGGGATAACACTGTATTTCCAATGCCTTGCATTTTCACGTTGAGCTGGTTCAGATGTTCAGTCAGATCTACGAGATAGTAAAACTTGAGGAGCCACTCGGTGTCGGCTAGCTCAGGATGCCCGACGCCTTTCATTTCAAGGAAAGTCCGGATTTCGTTCAGGCAAGCCGCAAAACGGCTAAGCACCTTCCCTCTTGACAACCAACGCACATTGCTGTGCAAAAGCAGACCAGGATAGTTATTTACAACTTCATCCAGCAGTGTTTTAAACTGGCGATCATTTAAGGCTCGGGCAACAATAAAGTTGATCACACGAATGACCAGCGACATCACTTCGCCAAACTGCCTGTCACACATCTGAGCACAAAGTGCCTCCTGGTGTATAATGCAATGGAAACTTAGGATGGGTCTATTTTCATGTTCACGGAGAAGCGCCACAAATCCTTTGTTTTTCCCCACCATAGACTTTCTTCGCGCAGTGTGTCACCAACAGCATATCTTGCAATCACGCTGAACTGCGACAAATGGCTAACGTCTGTTGACTCATCCAAAGCCAGAGAAAAGAACGGCGCTGCATTTATGTCCTTCACTTGCGTTTCCTCCACTTTGTTTGCCATCACGATGGTACGATCATGAACAGTTCTTGCCGACAGAGGCATGTCTTGTATCCGTTTGATTATCTTGTCTTTGTTCGGAAGATCATCAAAAAGTTCATTGGCTACATCCAGCATGAACGTTTTAGCATACTCGCCATCTGTGAATGGTTTTCCGTTCCTCACTATTGCTAAAGAACCAGCAAAGCTAGCCGAATTATAGTCACCTTGCCAGGTCCATACGCGGAGTTGCTGCTGGCTAGCTTGCACCCTGCTCAGAAGCTCTTGGCACGCTTTCTTTCTGCTGTCTCCCGCAGGGTATTTTGATGCAAAGGTAGCGTGGCGCGTGTCGAAGTGCCGCTTTACATTCGACCGTTTCAACGATGTAATTTTGTCATTGCAAATTAGACACACCGCAGAACCCGCTCTCTCCACAAAGGCGAATTCTTCGGTCCATTCGTCCTGAAATGTACGATACTCGTCGTCTTTTTTTCTTTTCGCCATCTTCTTCGTCGAAGGGTTAGCTTTGAGCTAATGACCGAGCAGACGCAGTCTCAGACTGATTCAAAAGGGGGCGTTTACCTGTTTTACCCAGCAACGGCAAACGTAGGCCAGTATCATCCAATTAAAATAATGGACAATTGCTCCTGCAGCCCTGAACAGGACATGCGCAGTGAAAAATCGATGGATGGATTAAAACAAGTGAGAATATTTTGTTTTATCTGCGAGCCATATGCAATCATCAAAAGAGCCACATCTGGCTCGCGAGCCATAGGTTCCCGACCCCTGCTATACAGTATTGTATATTTTAATACGTGGAGAAACTGAGTGTATGTGTAATGATTCATTTTCCTCGCACGACGTTGGATAGCTGGTTGCATTTTAAGAATCCCCTCTCTGGCTTTTTGTTTCCAATCTCATGAACTCTGCACATTGCGGTCGTGTTCACATGATTTCGATCCAAAAATTCTAAGCTTGCAAAATAAAACTGACCACAAGTAAAAAAAAACATTTAACATTAACCCTTAATTATATGTACTTTGAAATGCGTCATCAATTTCTAATATGTTTCTTCACAAGGCAAACAGTTTCCTCTAAGGGTAAATTATGACTAAATGTACTTAAGACAAGTGCTTAATTAGATCTATTCATAAACAGAGCAGAACATAGGTTTTCTCTACAGCGTTTCGACATGCTACGTGCATATACAATGCGTTGGAGGAGATGTATTTTATAAAAAAAATAAAAGGGCAGATGTAAAAAAAACCCTTTATTAAGTCACAAATGCACATCTGACCCCGATTCTGAAAACTTACAGGTCGTGGCAGACTGTGTATATGAATAATGGAACAAGTAGAAGTGTTTAAGCATGAGTCATTTAAGCGGCCAATCGCAGCACTTGGGATAACAATCATCTTCTCCGACATGATCCAAGTCGCGTCAGACAAAGAATGTGTGGCACATCGTGGTTTGGACAAAGACCGTGTCCAACAATCGTAGGCCACCTTTTGTAAAGTTTTCTGACTTTACGCAAAAGCAGAAGATTGTGGTTCCAGGTTGAGAAGGCAACAAAGTGCCCCAATCTCGGGTGATAACTCATTGCCGGGATGCACTGGAAGCGTCTTCATAATCGGTGCTCTCTGAAATAGAGACCCATAGCCTCATACAGTGACCCATAGACTCACACAGAGACCCATAGACTCACAGAGAGACCCAGCATCATCATCACGTTGCCTCTGACATTCCAATTATCAATATGTTATCGCCTCAGACTGGAAAACCAGGGGCAAACGTTGTTGCCTCCTCAACCGGTAGCCATGAACAGCCACTGGTTAAGCAACGGCTCTGCTATGTTTTCTCTATTCAGGATGAGTGTCGAAAAATCAGCCAGCTAAAACCAGCAACAAATGTGTCTGCATTAAGTATTTATTTACTCCTCTTTCTCCTGGCTGGCAAGGTTGTTGTTCCGCGAGCATGTCTGCATGTTCCTGCTGGGGTAATAATTCTAGGAGAAACCATTTGCAGTTCAAGGAATGGTTGCGATGAGGCAAATAATGGGTTGTGTTTGCCTTCTGGTTGAAGTTGAATAGTCACAATTCAGTGCCACAAATCAATTAAAGAATACATTGGGCCAAAAGGTCGCAGCAGCCCTAGTGGTTGCAGGGGCGGCATGGCCCATTCTCTGCAACACGTACGAATCAATGCTTTTCAATTCATACGCATTATATACGAATAAAAGAGGCTTAACATTGATTCTTCATAATTTTTGACTGTGCAGTGTCACACACGTATTACATAACATTGCAGCCATGCATTATGATCAATTATTGATCTCACAATACATCAAAGTTTTTGTTTGTGTATCCGATTTACAAGTCAGTTTAACACGTAGGCATTTGCGACCAATATCATCCATAAGAGGTTTTTTTTGGGTTAGATTGCGTAAACTTCTATTATGGACGATTTACAAGTGTTGAACACAAAATGTTCCACTCCGATAAAATATTCATGACCACACACGGTCAGTGTATGTGCACCAACGATTGTGGCTCAGTAACTGAACCTTATGGCGGTACCTCGGGGTATCATAATACCCCGGCTCTCGCATAATGTCCATGATGCAGTTATTTTTAGTCTGTTGATGGTCGGCGATGCGGCAATCGACTCATCTCGACGAGCTGTACACGATGCACTATTCAAAGTTGCATTTTTCGATAACGGATTTTTTATGCTGTTTGGCGTTTCGACATCGGGGAGTAGCACTGATTTCGGATTGATTGGTACCCCAGTCGCGGAGTTAAGTACACCCCTGGAAAAAATAGTGTCCCAGAAATAAAGTATTTAATTGCCTCAGCCATTTTTTATTATTTGGTACCCCGGGTCACCGCCATCAGAATCAACTGTGCAGGACACACACAAGCACAATTCTCTGTTGACTCACGGAGACATGTTAAGAGTGTGGAGCGGGTACACTGGTTATTGCACCGTGCTATGAACCCCCGCCCTGAAGTTCGATTCCTGGCCATGGCTAAAATCAAATGCGATTGATATCTCAACCATGCATTTACACTGACCATTGTGACGAAGTATGGTCAAATGAACCTATTATCGACATGGGTTGGGAAGGCCGTTCCTACAGCAGTGGATTGACAAAGGGTTGAAAACTATTTATATTTGATTACTTAATACCTAATGATGCCTACCGTAAATGCAAAGCAAACATTTGCAACGTAGTTTAAACACTCTCCCACATTAAGCCTAGGGCCCAAAGTAATCCGAGGATATCATCAGATCTTGGAAGCTAATCAGGCTTCAGTCTGGCTGTTGAAGGTTGCTGCTGCAGGACTACATTGTGTGCAACATAGGGTATCGCAGTAAAATCCACTACAGCATTGTACTGTATTGCTATGCTCCCTTATCTATGCTCTCCACCTTCACCCCCCCACTGACTGAAGAATGCTTGAGGAGGCTCTCGACCAGCAGTGGATCAATACAAGGGCTGTACGTGTACGTGCCTACAGCAGTGGCGGCCGCATTGGAGCCCTCTGCGGAAACACTGTTTTGAACCCGTTATGAAACAACCCATCATCATATACCGCATGACGGATGTTGTTGATGATGTTTGCTGGCTGCGTGCGTACACATGTCTACGTGTGCGCCGCAATGGCTTCAAACGCACGGAGCCTGGACGGGTGCCGTCACATGACCAACCCTGCCTCCACGGTGCTCAGAGGGAGGGAGGGCTGTGCGAGTAGTTTATGTGGCTCTTTGTGTGTGGGAGTGTGGATACATATATATTCATCATTACACACATGCACAGATACTCGAGCATAGTCGCTGCGCATCCCTGTGTGCTCAGTCGGTTACTGGGCAGCTCGGTAGGCAAATGTGCCTTGTCGGGCCACTGAGCTGGCACTGTCATGAGCCCCAGGTTAAGCTTGGGGGAACTCCGCGGCTCGCCGCGCTAATGCACCGTGTCGATGCTAATGTACACCACAGCTGATCCTGTGCTCAAGCACATGAGTGAGAATATGAATAGTGGGCTTTTGGTTACGAATGCTGCGTTTCCATGATAATGGGAGAGTGGACCCAAGGTGTGCTCGGATTTTTTTTGTTATATGACAAACACGGTGCTGAAGAGGCGGCTATTTTTTGCGTGTGGATCCTGTGACATCGCAACGGTTTCGAGAGTGGCTCAGATAAAAAAAAATAATGCAGCTCCCTGAGGAAAAAGAGAGTTATGCGGCCCACTAAAAGTGAGCCACCCGAGTCCAATCGTTGCTGGCTTTGGTCCGGGGTAATGCTACTTTGTAAAAAAAAAAACAGGCCATGCCAAATTGGTCAGTTCTAACTTCCCAGCAATCATGGAAATGTGGAGGAACACTTTTCAGGTGCTCCGTTCTTGATTCCGAACGTCACTGATCGAACGAGATGGAGTAAAACAGCGGCGACGCTCGCTTTGCTTTGGTTTACGATTGACATTGGGATGCCTGGGAGGCCCGAGGACGCCAATAGCTCACTCGCTCGCGGGGCTGGTGGCTCATTACCGGGTTCCTTTGGGGCTCCATCCTGCACAGAGCCACGCTTGCTCTCGGAGATGTCCTTGAAGGAGGCCAGGTACAGCACCACCTCTCGCTTCTCGTTCTTGATTGGGACGATGTCCAGCAGGCACCAAAATGGCACTCCTGTTGCAAGTGGTATTCAGTGGGGGGTCGTGGTGGTGGGGGGTAATGACATTGTCGGAGGCGGGATAGAATCAAGGGAGAGGAAGAGTGGGATTATCAGCGGGAAAATCACGATATATCGTACGATATCAGGTGCTTGATATTCAAATTCGTCCGTTTCGCAAAATATTGTTATATCATGATTGTCATTGCTTGTTTGATTTTTTTCACATATAATATCCCGATATTTATTAAGCAATAAGCAAAATACAATCATTAAAGTTTCAAATAAATAATAATTCCTCATTAAATTACTGACTCGCAAAATGTTTTCTGGACAGAAATTGACGGAAAGACAATAATGACCATAATCATCGCGGTGCATTTATGTAAGAAATTATTGTGTAACTGACAATGTATGAGCGGTATCGCAGCGGTTAGCGCTCTGCACTAAAAACCCAGTGACCCGAGCTCGATTCCTGCTCACAGCCAACACCAGTAGCAAATATTCGAACCGGCCCTGGGCCTCCCCTAGATCGACTCAACCTCAAATGTGTACCTGCTTTGTCTCCACCTGGGAGATCCAAGGGGGGCCCGGCGTGGTGCTGGCCATCCACCCCCTCATGTGCCATGTCAGCCTTGATAGGTGCTCGCTAACAGCACTTCCTCCAAAAGTCTTTGTTTAAATATTGTAAGGTTGCGTGAAGTGCAGTTGAGGTCATCTTTAATAAGAGTGGGAAGTAATGCAAGCAAAGCGCAATAACCAGTCAAAAGAAATGAGAAATAACAATGTAATGTCGTGAATATTTTGAATCGCACCGGACGATGAAAAACGATCACGGAAGCCCTTGGAGCATGTCCAAGGACTGTGGTCACGGCAGGATCTTAGGAGGGCATGTTGCATGCGTGCCAGTGTGGAGGGTGTTTGTTTACCGTGACACCGGTGCGCGTGTGTGCAAGCGTGCATCTCTCCTGGTGGCTCACAACTCTTTATCAATTTTCATGCTGTTTTAGAAAACAAGATCCTTTATTTTCTCGTGTTTAAGTATTCTGTCAGTGTCGGTTTAGCAGCTTATATATCTTGACTTAAAGCTTTGGTGACTGCAGGAATTCATATTCTTTGGGTCTTTCGGTAAAGTCACGTAGATAGGTTCAAAGAAAATAACAAAAACGATGACGTTTCGATCGCAACACAAGCGGTCATCATCAGGAAAAGGGGGGTTAGCCTCTAAAGCCCAAGTGTAACCAGCGCCGTTGTTGCCCTCTACGAGTACCATCACTTACATTAACATTAGCTGCCCCGCCCATGCTGCTGACACTTGGGCTACGCCCATTTCAAACCTTTATAAACAGTTTGCCTTTAGAGGCTAACCCCCCTTTTCCTGATGACGACCGCTTGTGTTGTGATCGAAATGTCGTAGTTTTTGTTATTTTCTTTGAACCTATCTACATGACTTTACCGAAAGACCCAAAGAATATAGCTTATATTGTCTGCCTCAGTTTCTTCCCTAGACTGCTGTTCCTACTCGGGAAGTTTTAAGTTTCTTCCCAGCAGAGGGGAGGATTACGAGCTACCACTGTGCAGGTTTTTGCTCAATGGATCTCCCTCCAATGCGTATTTTTCCATGATGTCCGACGTTTCGCTTCACGTGTGTTGAGAGCTTGTTCACTGCCAAAACAGTGTTAAGATAACAAAAGGGGTTCCACAGGGTTCCATCCTCGGCTCCCTTTTGTTCTCTCTTTATGTCAATGACTTGGGCACTGATCTGGATCATTCCAGGTTAAATATTTTTTCAGATGACACGATACTGATTACTGCTGGCCGCTCTCCAGATGACGTGATTGCTAAGCTACAGGATGATTTCAACAAACTACGTCAGCTAGTTGCTCCAAAACCAAGGTGCTATGCTTCTTACCAGGACTAAAGCAGGAAGTTATTTTTCCCCAATTACATTCCTTAAATAATTATCAAATAGAGCAAGTCAAGATCTATAAGTATCTTGGGATCATCCTGGATTCAAAACTGAATTTTGAAGATCACATTGATTATATTCGTAAAAAGACAAAAATTTAAATTGGTTTTCTGTATCGACACAAGCACTGCTTCCCCCCAATGTTCCGTTTGGAACTGATAAAAGCTACCATACTGCCTCTACTTGACTACGTGTATAAATCAGCCCCAAGTACTGTACTGAAGAAGTTTGATTCCATCTATCACTCGGCCTTAAGATTTACATTGAACTGCCCATATAGGACTCACCACTGTGATCTCTACATTGGGTCAAACTTAACATCTCTTAATGTTCCGACGACTTGTGCACCAGATCTTATTCACGATGTACTTACAAAAAAATCCGCAGACTACCTGCTGGATCTCCTCTCTGTTTCAAAGAACAAATTTGACCTCAGGTCTTCGCTCATTTACCAGCTTCACATTCCCTATTGCCGTACAAAAACTGGAGGAAGGGCCTTTGCTATTGATGCCCCCAGGGTCTGGAATGCTATTGCCAATAAACTGCAACTTGAATCGCTACCAATGAGATATTCTCTCAAAACTGCTCTAGAGGAGTTGTACACCCCTAGCTGCCACTGCTATTCATTGGCGTCAAATAAAATAAAATGTTTCGCTCCGGATGACACTGCAAAGTATTATCTGTATTTTGATTTAGTGTGCTGATCTTATAGGTGCATTGAAAAATTTGATACTCCGACTGATGCTTCTGTTGTTGTGGAATAACTCATCCAGCCAGCTATGGCTCTAGGATTTGGTGTTACATGTTATTTATGTAGTCTATTGTAAAAATTCGGTCACAGTCCCTGTGATCACTGTTACGTTGCAATTATGGCTTTATTTTTTGGTGATTTCGAAAAGTTATTTGGTTTGGACATGTTTTGTTGTAGTACGGAGTTAGACTGATGGCCTTAATCTAAGTTTTCTTGTGGTTGTTGTTGTTTGACTTGCATCCCACTGGGATTTTTTGCACACAGCGTTGGTGTACGGTGCTTTTTTCAGGAATATTTTGCTATTTTTTTCATAGATTTTCTGTTTGCACAGTCACAGTCACTTTAAGATTTTTTTCTTGTTCGTGTTTTTGTTTGTTATAGTTGCACCCGATTCAAGAGCCGAATGGCTCACAGGGCTATACCAAAATAAATAAATAAATGAACTGGGAAAATTAAAAAAAATAAACTGAAAGGCGTTACACCAGCACTGGCAGCAAATCTTCTACGACTGCTCCTTATTTGCAGCAATCAACATCCTGGATGAATTAACCAACGTTATTGCGAATCAACGTTCTGCGAAACAAATTGCAAGTGACTTTGTTGGAGTTTACATACGTGATATTTACTTATTTCCAGATACGTTTTGGCTGCCGTGCCAAATCGACGATGAGTGCCTGGGAGCAGGTGAGTTATCACATCAATGTACACTATATTCATGTGGCTCAGGAGACTGATTTGGGCAGCACAAAAGCGACCACATTTTGCCTCGCACATGAACACTGAAGAGGCAATATTATTTGACTGCACCTATGAAGGCCAGCACGACACACAAGGAGATGGTGTGGGCCAGAACCACGCTCGACTAACTTTGTCTCTTCAATGCTTATGTTTTTTACACAATGCACCAGGTACTAATTGATGGCTGAGTCAGCCTATAGGGGAGGCCCTGAAATGGTTCAAATAATGAAGACTAACGTTCGCCGTGGGGAGTAATCGAACTCGGGATGCCGGTTTCGTGGCACAGTGAGCTAACAAACCACCACGATGTACGCTAACCGCCGTGCAGATGATATATATACAAATGTAATGCCGACTCATCCGGTTCACCAACAATGAAATGGATTGCTAACAAACACCAGCAATTCAGCCCACGTCTCCCCTCCACACCTCCCCCGCAGTCGGGTTCGTGGACGCCTCCGTGAAAAAAAACGAGGAGCTTACGGCGCTAAGCCCTGCGATTTTGCCGACAGCTCCTGGGTGAAAGGGACTTGGGGGACACGTGGGGACCACGTGGAAAAAAAACAGCGGGCATGAATTAAACAGTGCCACGAGAGGACTATCAATAAGTCAGCGACACACACCAGGGCCGCCCGGTTGTGGAAATAAAAGGAGTCGGGTTACTTTAAAAACCAACAAATGGGCAGATGCGCCATTCTTTGGGCGCTTGAAGATCACGTATCAGCACACCGGCGATGTTATACAATTGGTTCGCGTTACTTCGCAAATACGGGCCAAGACACAAACAATTTCGAGCTAGTGTTTTCTCTGGAAATCCGCACACAAAAGGCTATATTTAGAAATATAAGGGATGAAGATAATGCAGATATGCACACAGTTTCGCTTGCCAACCAACCTTGTCATTTTGGAGCACGTTAATTTGGCAATGCATGGAACAGATACACAGCTGACAGTATGGGGAAGTGTACAGCTGCTGCTTAAGTTCATCTATATATATAAAAGTCAAAAATTGCCTGTTTGTGGGTTTGTTTGTGGGTTTGTGTGTGTTCGCGCACTTGCGAAAGATTTGCCTCTCAAACGGTGGGGTTTACGTTAAAAAAGAAAATAGCCAGGTACCAAGCCGTAAGCCCTGCGGTGAGCAAGCGCTATTCCTTTTTCACATCCGTAAACTTTAAATTTGTTTAATTAGCGATTTAGTGTGATTTTTGTGCACTAATCATTTATTTATTTACGACACGTATACGACTCCAGCGCAGTCTTTCACTCCAGCGCAGTCTTCGAGACAGTCTGGTCCCTTCACCTGATGAAGGCCGCTTGTGTTGTGGCCGAAACGTCGTGATTTTTGTTGTGTTATTTTTTACCTACGTGACTTTACCGAATAGAACCAAAGAGTACGTATACGACCATACCAACTCACGCGCCTTTGGTGGGGGGGACAGCCCATGCCAAGTCACACACCTTCGGTGGGAGTGAGGGGGACATTTTCTTTCGCGTTAAAAATGCTATGAAAATACACTAAACGCTGACGTTAATTCTTCACTGTGTGATGTCCCCCCCAC